AATCAGCAAATCGATTTCACGCAAATATCATATTTTCGGCAAGCAAGCAAATGTACAAAAGCCCGCTCCTTTCCCCGTTTCCCGCTTCTTACTCTACACTTGTCGTTCTGACTTCCATTTTTATTTTAGAGTTTGTTTTGATCCGACACAAGCACGCGCCTGCCTCCGCAAGCATCCCCTCTGTCTAGTGCTTATTATATTTCTGTTCCTCTTTCCATTTTGTTCTTATTTTTTCATTTTGCTTTGAACTATGGTAAATTTGCTCAAAGTGTGGTGGCACGGAAAAATTTTTGGTATGGTGGCAGCCGACACTTCTCTACCGACACCGTCGGTCGAGTGGTGCACTCGTCGACGTGTGGTATATTTGGCCGACTGCACCCCAAAATTTCTGGCAGAAATTAGTTCACAGAGAAAATGCGCCTTCCCAGTTATAAACGTTCTCTGGTATTGGAGAATACTAAAGTAGGTTTGATCAGCAGCTTGTGTGATTTATTTAGCTTAAGTCGACCGGCATTCCGTTTCAATCCTCAGTAAATATACAAGATGGAAATAAAACAATTAGGTGAGTTGACAGGCATGGTGCAATATTCTATTAAATTGGGAGTAGAATTTTCAACATCGATTTTTCCGATATCAATGTTGTTCAGCCCGATATATCGCCATATCGATTTTACATGCAATGAATTAAATCGATTCATGACATCGATACTCTCTTAAATATCGAACATTCCTAGCTACAACCTGTAGTTATTGAATCATGGTATACCAGTAGAAAAGGTTTTTGTTTTTGTAGCTGTTTCGTGGTGAAAGTCCTTTAAGGTGACCAAATTTCCCCACAAGAAATTGAGCGCATGGTTGCTTTTGCATGTCAAAAGAACAAATATTAGAAACATTGAAAAAAAGTCTGAGGTAATACAGTCATATTCTACTAAAAATATAGACACTAGTGTGCGCTAATTAGATAATGTGATAATCATGTTTAAAAACTCTTTAAACTCTTATTTTTCACAAATTATATTGCAGATCAGATTGTTCCGAGCGGTTGTGTTGTTTACTAAGAAAATGCAGCCCTGTTGGTTTTTATTTTTCTATGGCATCGCGGTGAGTTTCTATTTCTTGGTAATTCGGTTTGTGAAATGGTAAAACTTATTGAAATTTATTGATTTGATGTGTTTAACATTTGATTAATGCAATTTTCTTTCTTTTCAGACCATAAATTACAAGCATAGCATCATCAACGGTGATTGCAAAGAAAACTACTGCAATCCCTTCGGTTTTTCCGAATCCCTTCGGAATTCCAACACATCTATTGAATAATGTGAGCATTAGAATTCCATAGTGCCAATTCATATCCTATTTTCTCATTTACAGACAAGACGTACTCCTTTGAAATCTCTCGCTGCTGCTGCAACAATAAGTGTGTCTGTAGTATATTGGCCATTGGGCTCTGTCACATGGTCAGTATTTATTGACGTGATTCGAGTATCGCGATATTTATTGATCTGGAGTGTTCTAATTGTATCTCCTTGATATGATGCCTACAACGTGGTTCTATCTAGACTAGGAATAGCTTTGCTACACTACCGCCGCGGCGCGCCGGCAGCTTTAACAATTTTATAGTGGTTTTACGTTCTTTGGCAAATTATGCTCTGGACCATATGGGGAGTTCATTTACATTTTAAATTCCACTGTCATCGTGATTGGAACTATGTGTAATGCGATAAAAGCATATAATTTGCAACCCTACTGAATTACTACAAACTACCTTGTATGAATACGCCCTAGGCTAATCTAGTACAACTAAGAACTTAGAATTTACGATATTTGAATGCGACCCTGTCATATGTACGACAGCTGCTAGGCTTATGTCAAAATGTGAAAAATATATTGGCGGCCCGCAAAATGGCGGCCACCTACATATATATATAAAAAAAGAACTTGGAAACAAAATGTAACAAAAAAATATAAAACGTAAAAAAAAAAAAAAAATTAAGTAAATAGTTGAAATAAAATTTGTTGGTGGTAGTTGCAACCATGGTACAAGTATTTAAAGCAAAGAAAATCCTTACAAAAATTACAAAACTCAAAAACTGACAACGCGCATAAATGCATATATATGCGCATACATATGTGGCGGTTACAAACAGTTACAAAAAAAATGTTAATTAAAAATATAAAGTGGTGGCGGTGCAGAACATTGAAAAATTAAACACTTGAGAACTAAACAAAATACCTGAATACAAAAGAGGAAAAATCCGTAAACGGTTATATAAAAAAAATACAAAAAAGCGGTGGTACCAAAATTTTTAATACTTTATAAAACAAAAATGGCTTAAGAACGGAAAACTTGAAATTAAAACAAGAAAAAAATCAAAAAAAAGCGGTTGTCCCATATTTGAACAAAAAAATAAATAAAAAGCCTAAAATCTGAACTATGAAAACGCGAAAGTGCTGTACATACCACAGTTAGTATACGTAAAAACGCGTCGTACATCCGTTGTATAACGGCATACAAACCACGCCATCTACCAACCGCAGCTGTACCCTTAAACACGCCATGCAACCGTTGTATAACGGCATGCGCACAACGCCATAAAGAAGCGTCGCTAAGCCTTGGCGCGACGCAAGACAGCGCATCGTTTTAGTACAGACTGCAGCGGGGGACAATCAGCGAAGAAAACAAGCAACAACAACAGCGAGTAGCAGATTCTTTTGGGTATGATGCACTACGTGCGAAACAACACAATATCTTTTTCGTAAATTCAATATGTAACAAAATTTTTGTAATTATGTATTTCATATATTTTTCATTATATTCATTTTGTCAAAAGGGTTTACAGAAGGTGAACGTACTGTAGAGAATTCGATTTCAGTTGCAGCACAAAAAAAATGTTTATGGTAAATAATAAAGTGACTCACCTTGACGTGTCATTGCCTTTCGAGTAGCTGAAATGAAAATAATTCATACAAAATTTTGATTTATTTACATTCGATTTCGATTTATGTAATGAAGAAAGTATTTGAAAAATAATGCAATGAAACAGTAAATAATTATGGATACGATTTTGTTGACTAACGAGTATGAGAAAAACACTCCTACGTCATAAACTTTTCCCAAAGTGGTTATCGAGGTGTGAATAAGAATTTTTCATTTGACGACCCTTGATTGACCCTTGCTCCTAATAGATGAGCCTTCGAGTGTGCCTCCAGAGAAAGCTTCGCTAAATATCAAGCCTTAACCGACAAAATAACGTAACCGACATTTTTTTCAAGATTTTGTTTTTGATGCAGAAATATTCCAAGAGCATCCAGATGCATTTCTGCATCAAAAAGAATATTTTGCAAAAAATGTTGCTTACGTTATTTTGGCGGTTAGGGCTCGATATATAAATTTGTATTGCCGAAATATATACATATGTATGTATATAGGTACGTAAGTACAGTCCCAAAAAAAAAAACAAAGTTGTTGTCTTTTTTAACGCACACCCCTTCATTTTATTCGTTTTGTTTTAACAACTATCCAAAAGCAAATTTTTTGCAATTCGGACGACGGCAACCCGTGCCGACTTGCAGTCGAAGTTATCAGAATAATCTTTGTGCAGTTCGCGTGTTTTGTTAACTTACTTATTTTACTTCTACATAAGGCAGTATTACTATACTCCATACAGAATTGGGGCATAATATTTAGTAAATCTGCGTTTACCAGGTACTCAGGATTTTTTCCAAAATACCATTAATTATAATATATTTCCAAAAGTTTACATAAAATATGGATATATGGGTATCAATCAAAAGAAAAACTCAAAACAAGATTGATTATAACTTTCGTTTTCAATTGTCCTTTTGGAACATGTCAAAAATTACCTTTAAAAATATTTCCGTCCTAATTTTTAATTTCCTACACAAAATTATGTTACTAGCCTACAAAAAATATACGTACGCATGCTGATAGTATCCTTATGTACATATACCCAATGCAATTGCGATGGCGCTAACGGATCTGGGCATGCGGTTCTAGCCCATCTCATGTGGCCAGCTCCTACTTTTATCAGCAACATACATTTAGAGAGACACTCAGTGCGATTAAGAGTATTCCAAAATGACTTTTGCAGGTGCTGCATTGACGAAGGGGAGCCTGAAACTGTCAGGCACTTACTTTGGCAGAGGAATTTTAAACGTTCTAAACGCAGCGACAAAGTTGACCATACGCCAACTGTTCAGATTTGTTGACTTCACGAGCTGGGTCAAAGAGCATTAGGGGTTTCAAGATCTCTGTGGTATCGCAAAACGGCCCAACTAATGGGACTAATTATGCTGATAAGAAAAAAAAAACAACCACGACAACCTAACCACCCAACGTAGTCATATTTTGGGCATCGGTTACGTTTCGAAAAGTTGGATTTATCATGGGGAGGTAAGTCTTGGAAAACTTTTCTTGTCTTCCAATTTCTCATATCAAAAACTCTTAACAAATTATATTGTCGGCTGAGTGGAAGATCGAACTATTTCGGCAGGCAGTAAGAACGTTCTATCTCAGAGTTCGGTTCAAAAACGCCCTATTTCAGCACATTTTCAATACATTTGCAATTAAGATAGGACGACTTCTGAGATTGGGTATTTTTCAATAAAATTCTGATTAAATAAAATTTGGCTGCCGACGATATGCACTTGAAAGAAACTTGAATGAAACAAAATTTTAAAAATAGTTATAATTATTACATTTCAGTCGAGGCTTTCAGATTCATTCATTCATCAGTTCAAAGTTATACTGCTAATACAGTATAATTGAAAATAATACTACTTTTATAACATCGCTTCTACTAAAAAGGGGAAGTAACTAGTTATTATTATTTCTTTTTTTTCAATAAAATTCTCACTATTGCCACATATAATACAGGCACAGTCGGCAAAGCACTGATGAGCATATATGTACATACTAATGTATGTGTGGTAGGTACATCCAGTGGTGGAAACAATACAGAAATCAAAAATGTTGGCAAGTTTTGGATATGTTTCTTTGGCTTATTTAATGTTTAATCATTTTTTATAAAAGTCTAACTCATTGCATGAAAAACAGGGTATAAATCAGGGACCGAGAACACTTTCCAGTTTTGGTTTAGTTTGGCACGGTAACAAAATGTAATGTCAAGAACATTCTCACAAAAAGCCGAACGGGAACAAAAGTATTGAGAGCAGTTTAAATGGAAACAAAATAAGAACAAAAGTTTTGGAAACGTTTCCGTAAAGAACAAAATGTGAACCAAACTCTCGAAAACTTTCTGAAGAAGAACAGAATGAGAACGAAATTTTCGGGAACGTTTTCAATGAGAACAAAATAAGAATGAATCGATGCTTTCAAAGAATATCAAATAAGAACAAAAGTCTGGGAAAGGTTCTGCTAGAGTGCGAAACGAGAACAAAAGTTTTGAGAACGTGTTGTAATTAAAGATCGGTTCCGTGACAATCGGGATAGTTAATACTAAGCCAGAGGAAAGCTGGATCATTTCAACTTCCAAATCATTTACCATTAGTGTCAACTGTAAATTTCTGGAACAAATTTTCATTTGCTGTCCAAGACAAGATCGTGTCTTAAGTCTTTCGTTGATTTTATTTGCACAATTATCTTTCAGTTCTTTTTGATTAATTTTAATATAAAAACATATCAAACTAATGGGACGCTGTGACAAAAATTGCCTTCATCTGACAAACTGTTCATTTGATGTCAAATGTCGTTTCTTTACGAATTTAAAACTGCAAAGTTGGCATCGCAGTCATGTAATGCTTGGTTTTCATTACGTCAATTTGATTGACAACATAAACTGCCTTCTCTGCCATCGTCGTCATATCTTGCTGAAAGCGTTTTCATTCAGCTCCATGAACTGACATAAAAGCGTTTGTCAATGATTGTAGACAAATCTTGGGGTCAATCGACTGACATACCGTTTCCACCATAAATGTCAAAGCAGTGTTTTTAGAAGAAGAAGAATTAGCTGTCAAAGCAGAAAAAGTAACTGACCAAAGTGAAAATTTCAAAGGACTGGCTACGAGCTTAAACAATTTTTTTATACAATAAATTCAATCAATGCAAAACAAAAAGAAATGAACAAAAAGCGAGCTTCGATTGCCTTTGCATCACTTTGTTTGATCGCGACTTTAAAAGCGTGGAAAAAAAATAAATGCTTGAAAAGAAATAAAAAGCAATGGTGGATTCGTCCAGGGCTCAGACACAGGGCCACCAGTGGTTTCTACTCCACACTGCGTTTTAAATTACGTCAGCAGGATCCTCAATGGTTTAAAAATTTTGTGCGAATGAGTTGTGAAGACTTTGACTACCTGGTGGAGCATCTCACACCATACATTGGCAAGAGCAATACCCGATTCAGGAAAGCAATTTCAGTCGGCGAAAGACTCGCCGTAACTTTACGGTATCTGGCTACAGGAGATAGCTTTTCAAGTTTAATGACGGTTTTTCTTATTGGTAAAACTACAATATGCCACATAGTACATGAAACATGTGCTGCTATTTTTACAGCATTGAAAGATAAGTTTTTAAAGGTGAGTATTTTGAAATTTATTTCGATCACTAGTGTGAATAAGATGGAATATGCATTCATTTATTTACATAGGTCCCAAATACCCCTGGACAATGGGCAGAAGTAGCAGATCAATTTGCAAAGCGTTGGAACTTTCCAAACTGTTGTGGTGCTTTGGACGGTAAGCACATAATGATACAGGCACCTGCTAACTGTGGCTCCGAATACTTTAATTATAAAAAATTCAATAGTATTGTTTTAATGGCTTTGGTGGACGCAGAATATAAGTTTCTTTTTGTAGAAGTTGGAGCATACGGCCGCGAATCTGATGGAGGTGTTTTCGCAAGGCAAGTTTTGGACAATATATCCCCCCATCTTATATTCATGTAATATTCATATTTATATGTGTTTTTCATTTTAGATGCAAGCTTTCAAGTGCTCTTGCTGACAACACTATTAATTTTCCACCCCGCAGACCACTACCGAATGAGGCAGATCCAATGCCATTTGTCATTATTGCAGACGATGCCTTTCCGCTGAAACCATACATTTTGAAACCATTCTCTTATCGTGAACAAGTAATGTCGCATAAAATATTTAACTACAGATTATCACGAGCAAGAAACGTGGTTGAAAATGTGTTTGGCATATGCGCGGCACGGTTCAGGATCCTTAGAAGGCCAATGGATGTTAAACCTGAGAACGCAAAGACCATCGTTCTAGCAATTTGTGTTATACATAACTTTTTAATATCAAGAAACTCATCCTATTTAACTAGAACCGACACTGACAATGAAACAAACGGAGAATTAGTGGCGGGTAATTGGCGATTAGAACTTGGACCAAACGGAAAGCTAATTTCACTTCGTGCAAGTACCACTCTGGGTAGGCCAGCAGATGATGCAATAAATGTTCGAGCTGCTTTTATGGAGTATTTTATGACACCGTATGGAGAAGTCCCATGGCAATATAATAGAACGATTATTCACAACTCATTTTAAAAGTCAGTGGCCCGTAGTCATAGTCAAAATAAAGTCGACTTTAAAGTTAGTTGCAGCTTTTTGACATAATTTTCAATGGGATATCTGTCAACAAAGCTGCAACTAACTTTAAAGTCGACTTTATTTTGACTATGACTACGGGCCAGTAACTTCGCTTAGATGAAATTTGTTAGTGTAACTCTTTGCAGTGTTATATTTACCCATATAACTAGTTTTTTAATTGATTTGCATTCTAATATTAACCAATTACCCACAGAATTGAGTACATTTTTTTTACCATATTCTCGATGTTTTTCATGATAAATCGTTTAAATTAACGAAAATGTTTATC